CCCCACGGCCCGCGCCCCCCAGACGGCGCGCGCTTCCCAGACGGCCCGCGCCGCCCCAGCGCGTGCTCCGCGCGCTCGCGTCCTCGGGAGGGCAGCTCTGAATGATGCGCGCACTCTGCCGGAAACGCGCCTTGAAGTTTTTTGTTCCTAAAAGGAGAAGCTGAAGTCAGTTCCTCTCCTCATGGGCACCCGGGTTACAGGGCCACGACGTGACTCGCCGCAAGTCCCGCAGGTATATTTAATCTCGTCACAACCCAGATAATCCATTTTCAGTACTTGTGTGCATGAGGTCAGCAAGGCTACCACAGAATGAGGAACCGCAGAGAGGCTGCTAGGTGGGCATGGGGACCTCCGGACACCGGTTTCACGTCTGCAAATCTGTGCGGCTTCTCGGACACAGAAGGTGGTCTCTTTGGGTGCTTGGACTGAACCCGGGGCCTCACCCATGCTAAGCACACATCCATCATGGAGTGGCACCCTCCAGCCCTTTGACTTTTCTTAATTTTTTTGCAGACAGTGTCTTGCTGTGTAGTTCACACTAGCTTTGGACTTACTAAATAGCCCAGGCTAGCCAGAGCTTGTGGTGATCTTCCCGCATCAGCCTAAGTGCTGGGATTACAGGTGTGTGCCACCATGCCTGGCTTGATTTTTCTTTCTATGTATGCATAGAGCTGGGCCAATTTGGCGTGGCGGGTTAGAGTGACCGATTCCGAGGCGTGGGGAGACCCAGCTCTGGCCTCGAATTTGAGGCAATTCTCCTGCTTCAGCCTCCCTAGTGCTAGTATGACAGGCATGTGCCACCCACCCAGCTCAGTCACTCATTATGTATGATTTGGGGTGGTTTCTAGACTTTTCTGACCCTGGTCCCCTTATAAAAATAGTAACATCTATAATGTTGTTGTGAGAGTTGATGTCACTTAAAACATGGAAGTTATCAAGAAATGGTGATTACATTTTTTTAGCTTCTGAATCACAAAAGTCCAATTCTGAGATTTGTTAAGAATGAATATCAGTTTCAGAATTACAAGGAATCCAAAGGAGATAAAATGTTAGACAATCACAAACATTACGTGGCGTATCCAGTAGTTTTGGAAGCAGCTTTGGCAAGCGTTTCGGGTAGTATGTGCTGGAGCAGGTTCTTCCTGGCTTTGAGGACAGCTACTGTGCACCACGTCCCAGTGGCCCATCGGTGACCTCCCTCAGTGGCCTTCAGTAGCCCGCGGTGGGAGGAAATTGGAAAATGCTGACACTGGGCTTTCTTGCCAGTCAGTGGTTAGACGTCTCCCCACGCGTGGCGGGTTAGGGTGACTGACTCCGAGACGTGCGTGTGGGGTGTGTTTAGGGTCCGTGTGTGCAGCGCATGGTGACCACCCCCTCCGGGAGGCGGTGCATGCCCCAAACACGTCTTCATGCTCTTTCCCTCCCGCCCTCCCCTCCCTCTCTCCTCTCTCCTCTCTCCATTGTGCTGTGGCTTCAGCATGCTCATCGCACTGGCTACGCATCACAGTCATCTGGAGACTGAAACAGAAGGAAAGCTCACTGATCCATTCAAGCTCTGCCGCTGGAGGGTAAACCAGCCTGCCAAGGGATCCAGGGACAGTCATTATCTTTTAAAACGTAGGTTAGGCACAGAGTATGGTTGAGCACACCTGTGATCCCTGCACTCAGGGGGCTGAGGCAGGAGGATTGCTTTGAGTTTGAGGCCAGCCTGGGCTGCATAGTGAGTTTAAGGCAGCCTGAACTACATAGCAAGACCCTGTCACAAATCAACCAACCAACCAACCAACCAACCAACTGGCAATTGTTCTTGAACTTCAGACTCTCCTGCAAGGCCAGTTAAAACAGGCGTCCTGGGTCCACTGTAGAGTTTCTGATGGTTAGGTCTGGGTGGGGCGGAGACTATGCAGCCAACCCAGAGGCCCAGGCCCTCGATGACCTCACCTGCACCCACAGCTCAGAACCACTGCTCTAAAGCAATGCTCATCTCCAGGCAGAGGCCTTCCAGTAGACTGCGATCTCTGTCTGACCTTTTACTCACTTTTACGTGTTTTACATGTTTTACAATTTTTGTTTGCTGCCTCCTAGGGTAGAGGGGTGAGTGATGGGAAGGGTGGCCGCTCAGATTACTTCTCTAATTCCACACTGGTTGCACATCAAGACAATCTTGAAGAGACTGTGACCCAGCTGGAGATGGAGGCCACACCTGGTTCCAAGCCTCCGGTTTCCCGCTAGGGCACAGCCAGGGTAAAGGCTGGCTGCTTTAAGTAGCTTGGTATTCAAACCAGAAATTTCAAAGTCAGCACTACATAGGCTGTGATGACACAGGGTTTGAAAATGACACCTTCCTTTTCTGTAGCAGTTCTGAGATTGACATTATCTCTGTTTCCCATATGAATGGCAAATCAAAGGAATAAACAAAGAAAAGGCCATCATAAAGAAGAAAGAGTGTGTATTTTAATGCGAAACCTATAAGGTTAAACCACTATAACTAGTAAGAGAAGCCCCGACACAAAGAAATGATAAACGTTCATGGTCGAGGAGATGGAGGTTACCACCATCACCCATCACACTTTGTAGCCACACATCAAAGCTGAAGAAAGATTGCAAACTGTGCCCCATGAACACATATAATTACTGTCTGTCAATTTAAAAAGTAGTCAGAAAAGTTGCAGGCATGTGGGTTCACAAAGTGTGTGTGTACCTAGCTGAATGTAAACACACACACACACACACACACACACACACACACACACACACACAAATTAAGAGAACACTTAAGGAAAGCAAAGAATACTAAGGAAATACCCAGAGCCGAGGGCTGGTTTTTCAGAGGAAACCACTACATAACAGCAGAAAGAGTTTTCTCAGTAACTGTAATTCTCCTACAGCAGACATCACTACTTAGTTTTTCCTCTGTACAGGGGTAATGTGTGCGGCTGAAGACAATCTCAGCCCCCTTGGCGGTTAGTGTACCACGTGACTAAATCAGCCAATGAGGAATAAGGAGATTTCAGATGAGACCTCCAAGAAGGCTTCCAACATCAAGAGTGAGAGTTCTGCTGAAATGAAGCCGGTTTGAAATTTCTGATTTGAAAGAAAGATGTGACAATGAGATCACTGCCAGCACCTTGGACCGGGAGGGCCCTGGAGAAGAAGCCAGTGCTGTGCATGGCAGAGCAGGAAGATAGGAGCCTCGTTCACAATGATGATGGAACCACTGAAACAGTCCCAGACACTGTCTGCTTCCTTTATGTGAGAGAAGAAAAACCCTCCTGAGTTTAACTCCTGTTGCTTTGGGTTTTCTGGATTATGAAACTCAACCATAACTGACATACCTGATAGCTCCCAATATAGCTCAGGGTAAGAGAAAACTCTACAAAGAAGGTAATCCCCAGAAGGTTGTTTGGGGTTACTTATCCCCAACAACTCCCTTCTCTGAGAGTTCCTGATGTGATCCATGCACCTCCTTTTCCTTCCAAAAACAAATCCTCTGCACAGCTAACTGGTGGGGTGGTCACCTGAGCAGGATATAGCAATTGGGATTGGGAATCAAGTGCTGATCACCTGAGTGGTGTTTGACCTGGGTCATGATGTGGAGGGGGCACATGGCCACGAGGGACCACAGCTGGACTGATGAGCCAGCAAAGGACAAAATGGAGCAGATGCAGGAAAAGAGGTGTGATGTTGAGATGGACAATGAGCCAGCTGTGTGGACAGAGGCTGGGAGGACCACGTGATCCCTGAGTGACAGCCGGAAAAACTAGCTTCCACTCTCCCACTCTCCTGCAGGGCTTGGTGTGATTGAAAAAGATGGCCTGTGCTTAAATTTTAAAAATTTGTCAGAGTAAAGGACATGTTGCTATTAATCTCCTTGCTTCACACACTTGTCCCGTTGTTCTTGGCCCTGTCCGCAGCAGTTCTGGCAGTCTTCTTTAGTGTCTTTAGTTGCACTGTAACGGCTCTTCGATGTCCTGATGCAGTTCAAAACACCCTTCATGGTCATTTTAACTTTGGGGAAGAGGCAGAAGTCACGAGGTGCCAGACTCCGTGACTAAGGTAAGGAAGAGACACTATCATGTTTTTACCGATTGCTTTTCTGTTGGAGGCACTTGGCAGCAGCAGTCACATAATTTTAGTCATACCTCATCAAGATTCTTGTGAATGAGGACGTTTAGAACTGCTTCAGAAAGTGGCAGGAATGATGGGATAGGTGTGTTTGAAGTGGGGGGGAGATTAATGGCAATGCATCTTTTACTGTGATACATTTTTAATATGTAAGCATTCTCTGTATTTTGATCACAACCCATATATCCCTGCAAGAACCTCTTCCCCTCTTTTTAGTTTCAGTAGATTCCTACTTCCTGTGACTGGCAGAACTTTGAGGGGACTGAGACCTTTCTGGATAAGACTTGGTTGGAGGGATGTTCCATAACATTGAATTTTACACCCATTATTTTGCTTTATGTGGTGAAAATATAAAAATGAAACAGGGGAAAACCCAAGTAAAGCACCTGCTCTTTGCTTTTTGGCTTTTCAGAGGAAACCACTACATAATAGCAGAAAGAAAAAGCCAAAGAACAAACCCTCTAGACTTCCCCTGCTCCTAGGTGCTTGCTTTGAGGTGACCACAGACAAAGCTCTGAAGCCCTGGCTGATGGTAAGGGTTAGGAAGTTCAGTCACCTTCCCCACACGCCAGCCTATAGCTATCCCTGAAGTCCATCCTTAGGTTGATGGATTTGAGACTCGATCTGCCCCACGAGCAAGCTCTGTGAAACTCAGCATTTCAGTGACTGCCATGCTGTGTGGTGGGCAAAACATTCCTGGCTCTGTAACAAAACTAAGCAAGGTCAGGTGTGTGCCCAGTGACAGCTGATGATCAGCACTGAGCAAGACAGAGAGGGAGCCCTGTTGCTGCAGATTTTCAGGTTGACGTTTACAGGTCTGTGGAATCACAGCCATAATCTCTATCATTTTGATGTGTGGATGAAGCAGAGCACAGTATTATGCTCTGAATTTGCTTTGCTCTCAATGAGCATTAAATGTTGCAATGTGGCCCTGACAGAGGCTCTCCAGAGTGTTCGGGCTACAACTACAGTAGGTGCCTGGGTTTAGCCAGAAAACCATGACTTCTTTCATCCTATTACATTTTACAAGATCTACTATAGTTACCACTGCACAGCCAGCAACACACAGAGTATCTGAGAAACCCTAGCCAGCTTCCCATCGTGAGCACCAGAGCTCAGGCTGAAGCAGAAATGCAAAGTGCCAGGGTGAAACGACAGATGATAAAGATTATTAGACACAAGAAAGGGCTTTGGAGGAAGGGCACGAAATGCTTTACCTGGAGCCCCTAACATTAGACAAATGCCTATGCAACAGTCCAGGCCAGCATCGCTTATCAAGGATGACAGTGACCATGCACTGTGGAGGCCTCAGGATGCACTTTCTCAGTGCACTGTGTGTTTTTCATTCGGCAATCCCCTCTTTCCGGGACCGGGAATCGAACTCACGACCTTGCGCTTGCCAGGCAGGTGCTGTGCTGCTGAGCTAAATCCCCAGCCCCCGGCAATCCCCTCTTTCAACACCATTTTTAAGAAGGTCAGATTCGAGAGAGGCTCACATGCACACGTTATCCACTCTGATCCCTACTTACAGTTTGGGCTTGGCCAGCACTGGAGGGGGCTCCTTGACAGGGGAGGACGGCTCCGGGCTTTTCACTGCCTGCCCGTTGAACCTCTCCGGGAAGCAGTCAGGCCTGGTCTGGGAGGCGGTCGCCACGTTCCCCTCGGAGGACGCTTCGCTTCCCTTGTCGTCTTCAGGAAGGTTGAAGTGCACACGCAGCCCGGCCCTGGAGCTGGAGCGAGGCTCGTTGTGGTTCACCAGGACCCCTTCGAGCTTGGGTTTGGGGGGCTGCTCTGCAGAGGGAGGCTCGGGGCTGGGTAGGGCTGCCTGAGGCTCACTAGTGGCCAGGTTGCTGGTGGAGTTGGCTGGGTGCAGAGCCCCGTTGTTGCTGAGGTCTTCATTCCCTGAAAGGACAATCACAGGACCCGAGCCTTTAGCCTTGTCTAAGGAGACCGAGGTGGGCTTAACCTGACCCTGGGCGTGTGCGCAGTGGGGATGGTATCAAGCCAGGGGAGGGCAGAAGTCAGAAAATGCTTGTCAAAAGCAGATCAGAATCTGGTGTACTAAAGAACTGTGAGGATGCAGGGAAGAACTAAACTCAAAATCAAGGTTCTCTTTTGGAAATTTAGGTAAGACCAAGGAGGTGTTTTCTTAGGAAGTGTAGGAGCAACAAGATAACTAGACGGGTGGCAGTGGTTTCATGTACTGAGAAACTGGCAGTTGGCATGGTTCAAGAATATTCCCTCAGCTGGCGTGGGGGCGCATGCCCATAACCCCAGAGCTCAGGAGGCTGAGGCGGGAGGAGAACCAGGATCTCAAGGCCAGCCTGGGCTACACAGTGAGTTCAAGACCAGCCTGAACTACACAACGAGACCCTGTCTCAAAAAACAGAATGGAAACAAAAATACAAAACTAAAAAACCACTTTCTTCAAGAATGTAAATCTCTTTTGGCTCATGTGTGAAGCAGTACACAAAGCCAGCGCCGGCGCTGCAGGCCGGCATTCAGACCCACAGCGGCGTCTGCGGAGCGCCCACCTCTCACGTCCAGGCGTGCGACGCTGGACACCGTGCCGTACTTGTTGCTCGCGGTACACGTGAAGCAGCCCGAATCCTCCGCAAACACCTCCGCAATGACCAAGGTGCAGATCTCCTCTACAGACCAAGGAAACAGAGCGACCGCTGACTTAATCGTGAGATGGAACTGTGGGATTCACTGATAGCAGATTTGGATTCTACAAAACTCAGCTACAGTCATTCTTCGAAAACAATTGGTAAAAATAATTATTTGATTGAATTGATTGATTAGCAGCCTACAGGAGTCAAAGGATGGAACCAATGCCTCTGGGCAGACAGGCTGGCACCTAGGAGGGTTTTTTTTTTTTTGTTTTTTGTTTTTGGTAAGATTGTATTGTGTATTATGAAAACACAATTATCTTCTATTTTTATGTCATCAATCCAGATGGCAAAAATGGAAGTCAGTAAAAATAAAATTAAAACCAAATCACAAAAACAAATTAGAGGTCCAAATAGCACATTTTCTAAACCCAGATCTCTCATTATTTCCATGGGGAACTTTTACAGTAAGGTAATTTTAAACAAAGGCCACAATTTAGAATGGGCCACTAAATAAATATTTTGCTTAAGTAGTAGTAATTAGGTGACAGAGTAAATACAAATCCTGGGTGAAAGAAGAGTGAAGTCCATCTCTACCTTTGTAAATACTATGGTAAAAAATTAAGATGCATTATGTACATGTACCAACTCCCTACAAGGAATGAGATCATTATGTACTGCAAACACATACCAATAAAAAATTCTTATGGGTCACTTTGATACACAGTACCAACCCCTGTGAATAATGATGGAAGTGATTTCTTGATAGAACCATAGGATTATAGTCTAAAATCACTATAGTTAGACATTCTTTGATGATTAATGAAGAGGGGACACAGGACAGCTCCATAAGCCTCTGGTCATCACGCAGTAGCCCCAACAAACACAATTATTTGTTGTATGAGGGGAGACTTGGCATCTCAGTGCTTTATGTAACGAGGTTAGATGGTCTTGACCACCTCCAGAAAAACTGGCCGTGCAGCCACTAGAGACACACTCCCGAGGGTGAGACCACTTCTGCCTTTGCTGTGTCCAGCACGGGACTACGTGACCTGCACGTTCAGTGCCTTCTGGAACGCCCTTCCATTCAGCTGTCAGGAGAATTATCATGCTGAAACTCCAAGCATCATTCTCACCCAGGATTACAAATACAACCTGATTTTTCAGAGTGGTTGCAGAGAGGGCAGTCAGATGTTTAGGTTCTGCTAAGTGCTTCACCCACTAGCACTTGTATCTATCTCATCTTTATATTTGCCCAATAAAATCTAATAGCAACACAGCGCTGGGATCAACATGTTTTCTGATATAGATCAAGTCACTCCTTGTGCATTAATAAAAGTTGAGATGATCTTTACCTGGTTCTGCCATGGACCGAGGTTCTAAAGGGAAAAAAATAAAAGAACATGAACATTTATTTTACTGAGAAGGCACATTTTTATCAGAAGCTTCCTATGGAATTTCATAGTCTCTTGCATATTCAGGAGTGTTTGATAAGGTTAATCTGTCCAGGTTAAGTAAAACGACCCAAGCACCGGTGACCTCAACAGGAACACAGAGACAGCAAGAGAGCAACTAAGTGATGTGGCTGCCTCTTGGGACACACCCAGCTCACCTGGGGGCACTAAACCTTAGGCGAGGAAGTGTTCCTGAGTTAGCTGGGATTCACAAAGGCTTCACTCTTTTTTTTTTGAGACAAGGGTCACACTATGCAGTTCAGGCTGGCCTTGGACTCACTGTGTAGCCCAGGTTGGCCTCGAACTTATGACGATCCTCCTGCCTCAGCCTCCCAACTGTTGGGATTACAGGCGTGTGCCACCATGCCCAGCCGGCTTTGTTCTTATTGGTACCCATTTAGCCTCACCTGAAAATAAGCCTGTGAACACTGAGAGATCATTCTTTGCTTTGGGCTCTTACATCCAATGAAATATATAAATCACCTTCTCCTCTGAGGTTTTTAAGATCAAGAGCCTCAGGACAGGTAAAGGATTCCCCCGGAACAGCTTCTTAATTTTAAAATTCCTTAGCATTCCTCCAAGTGCCTGCTGTGATATTGCATAGTGACACTCAATGAATGTTTATGGGATTGTAGGCAATCACTAAGTAGCTGAACTTAGTTACATCTACAGGGACAGCACTACTGGAGACTTTTCTCTCCCAATTAAGTGGTATTCAGAATTTATTACTGTTGCTGCTGCTGCTGCTAAAATCTGACAGTAGTGCTGAATTGTACATCATGTTGACCCAAGTACTACGACTTTTGTGGAAGGAAACAAATTAACAATGACATAAATAAAAATGGTAAATATGTGAGGTAATGCACATATTAATTAGCTTGACCTAACCATTCTATAATGAGTATATTTGAAGGCGTCGTGTTGTATGTGATGAATTACACAACATTTATCAGTAAAAAAAGTTAAAAGGGGTTCAATATCCCCATGCCGCAGGCACGTAATAAATTTTGTGTGTTCTTTTCCATGAAAAATAGATTAAAAAATAAAAGTAATACATATTTGTTATAGAAAAACTGAGGAAAAAAAAAAACCCACAAAAGTGCAAAGGAGCAAAACAATTGACCCTTGACTTATTACCCAAAGCCTTAGCAAATCTCCTTCCCAATTTTTTCTATAATACTCATTCTACATAGTCAGTGTAATGTGTGTATTTAAAAAGAAGCAAATAAATTGTAATTTGTTTGTGACGGAAATGGATCAAGGAGAGTGCACTGAAGGATAAGATGAAAGAAGTCCATATACCATGACAAAGAATCAACCCCTGCAAATCCAGGTTATTCTTACATGACAACCAGCATAAAACCCAATATGAAATGGAGAAATACAGTGACCTAAATAAACAGGAAAAAGTGCCATCCCACAGCTAATCAGTAAAGTACAGACTACACTAGTTCTGCCCACATATAATTTCTACACAGTTAGTGCAAATTTCATAAAAGGGCTGATATCCACGGCTGGCAAAGGTGTGGGATGAAGGCACCGCCATAGATCACTGGGTGTGAGGGACGCAGCGAGGCTGACTCATGTCCCGGAGCTGCTGGGCCTGACCAAGTTTATGCGTGGGATCCCCGCATGCTTAAGAAAACGCTCTTTCATGGTTGTGTGTGATTGTCCTAAATTCAGCTTGGTCTTTCGGGATGGCATTTTTGCCCATGTGTATTTTTTGTTTTTTGTTTTTTTTTTGGTTTTTCTCTGGTACCGGGAACTGAACTCACGACCTTGTGCTTGCCAGGCAGGCGTTTTTGCCGCTGAGCTAAATCCCCAGCCCCTTGCCCATGTGTATTAACAGCCCGCAAACATTTCAGTCTGCAGTAGCAATTCAGTACTGGAAATTTATACTAAGGCAATAACTAGTTACAAAGACTTGCTGTGGTAACCTACACTGAAGCATCGCTTATAATAGTAAAAATGTGTGAGCAATTTAAATGTTGAACAGAGATTAAATAAATATGAAATTAATATTATTGATTTTGTTGTTGTGTTTGAGACAGGGTCTTGCTATGAAGCTGAAGCTTGCCTAGAGCTCGCTCTGTAGCCCAGACTGGCCTCGAGTTGGTGGTGAGCTCCCGAGTGCTGGGATGACAAGTACGTGTCACCATGCCTGGTGATCTATTTTTAAAAGTGAAAAATCAAACCAGGTATGATGCCGCATGCCTGTCCCAGCGCTCGGTAAGGTGAGGGCAGGGCCCTCAGCCTGGGCAGTTTAGCGGCTCAGCAGGACCCCTCCAAGGAGTTAGTTAGGAGTGCGGATGTGGCTCAGTGCAAAGACCCTGAGTTCAATCCCCAGGACCACAAAAAGGAGCAAACCTACATGCTAATGTATAAAGCTGTCCATGAAATACTGAGTAAAAATCAATTAAAAACTAGTGTGATTTACTTTTATTTCAAAAAGTATACATGGAAAAATTCTTAGAGAATGTGCACTAAAATATTAATAGTCTAGTTTGGGGGAATATGATTACAGGTGGTTTTTATTTTACTTTTTTACTCTATTTTTAATCACTTTCTAAAAACCTATAATAATAAATGATCAGAAAAACAGTTGTACAGCATCAACTTACTTTTTTGTAAAATCCTAAAATCTGGAGAATCTTCTATTAAGGTCCCTTCCCTATACCACTCAACTTTAGGGGATGGAGCACCTTTTACTCTGCATTCAAAGACAACCAGCTGGCCCTCAGAGGCTGACAAATTCTGTAGCATCTAGAATGAGAAGAATATGGTTAGAACAAAACAATATGCATTCTTGAATGTAGTCCTAGTGCTGAATTTCAGGAAGAGACACTATCTCCTCTATATTAGGCTCTTTTCAAACATACATCTTCAGCAGCGTTGGTTCTGTGGATGTACATGGAATCTGTTCTATGTTGGAAAACAGAATCATCCGATCCCTACAAAAACTACAGCAAGGCTCTACTAGACAATTCAATACAGGAATAATGTATTATTCTCCAGAGGAATATGGCCGTTCATGATATGGAGCAGATCTGTGGCCCAATAACTGATTTTGTCTTCTCTAGCTTTGCCATCTTGGACATGGATTTTTGTTTTATTGTTTTGTTTTCTTTATGTGGTCCTTTGTTTGTTGATGTTGGTGATGCTGGGGATTGAACCCAAGATCTCAGAGATGCTAAGCACATATTCTACCACTAAGCCACAAACTCAGCCCTCCCTGCCTGGTCTTTACAGTGTAACCAGCTGAGCTACTGAGGGACATAAGCAATGACAGTCTTTATAAGACCATAGTCATATAGGGAGCCTTGTGTCCTTGTAAAATATTCTGAGGAGGCACTAACACCTGCCCACACTTCCACGATGAAAGGTCTGCCAAGCCATGCAGAATTGTAAAATGTGAGCGTATTCTATATGAGACTCATGACAGAAAGGAACATGTATTTTCCTTCATACTACATTCTCATTCATTATGATTTGGGAAGTTGAAATTGCACATTCTTTGGTGTGGTTGGTACTTCATTTGATTAGGAAATGTTTCATAGGTATAAACATACTTTTATTTTTTACTCTGGAGCAAAGACTGTAGATGCAGATTGTGACTAAACTTGCTTTACAAACTTTCTGTAGCAAATGCTATGAAGCTGTCTATTCTTACAAATTTTTGGCTTAATAGAAGAGGAAAACTAGTAATTTCATTGTTGTTTTGTTATTCACTCATAAATAACTTGTGAGATTTTTTTTGAGACAACATCTCACTGTGTAGTGCATCTTGGCTTTGAACTTGTTTACGTAGCCCAGGCTGGCCTCAAACTCATGATGATCCTCCTGCACCAGCCTCCCGAGTGCTGGGATTATAGGTGTGCACCACCAAACCCAGCTACTTGTGAGATTTTTTACAGCTCTTGTATGGACAACTTATATTTTTCACATATCTGTGTCACAATATAGCACGTATCTCCAGAATACAAGGGCAGTGGGGATAACCATAGGCTTTAGCTGTAATAAGACTTATTTTTAATTTAGAGGTAAATGTAAGTTTGTATTATAACAGCCAGGGGGCACTGTAGTTTGATGTCAATATGTTGTACTTTGCACTGTCCAGAATTTGTTTACTGAAGTAATTCACAGTGGGAATAGCACAGACTAACTACTGAATTAATAAAAAGCTATTTAGGCATCAAAAAAACTGAAGTACTTAGGAATTAATCTAACAGAAGAAGTAAGAAATCTATACAGTGAAAATTACAGTACTCTGAAAAAAGAAATTGAAGAGGATTTCAGAAAATAGAAATATTCCTTGCTCATGGATAGGAAGAACCAACATTGTGAAAATGGCCATACTCCCAAAATTGTTGTACAGATTCAATGCAATTCCAATGAAAATACCATCAGTATACCTCACAGACCTAGAGAATATATTCCCAAAGTTCATCTGGAATCAGAAGAGACCTAGAATAGTAAAGGCAATCCTGGGCAACAAAGGCAAGGCAGGAGCATCACAATCTCTGACTTGAAATTATACTACAAAGCTACTGTGATAAAATCAGCATGGTATTGGCAAAAAAACCAGACCTGAAGATCAATAGAACAGACTGGAAGATGCAGACACAACCACAAAGACACTCAGCCACATTATCTTTCACAAAGGGGCCAAACATGTTCATTGAGAGAAAGATAGCCTCTTTAATAAATGGTGCTGGAAAAACTGGCTTTCCATATGCCGAAGAATAAAACTAGACTCAAGCCTTTCAGCATGCACCAAAATAAAGTCAAAATGGCTTAAAGAGCTAAATATTAATTCAGAACACTAGATCTATTGGAAGAGAAGATAGGTGGAAGCTTTGAAGACATAGGAGTTTGTAGAGGGTTCATGAACAAAAACCAAACCTCACAGAAAACACTTCAAAGAATCAACAACTGGGATCTCATCTTACTGAAAAGGCTTTGCACATCAAAAGAAATCACCAACAGGGTGAAAAATTTTTTCCCATGAATTGGGAAAAAATTTTAGTGAACTGTCCCTCAGACAAAGGACTTCTGTCTAGAACATATAAATTTAAAAAAAATCAGGCCCCCAAAAGTCAATGACCAAATACAAAAATGGGCATCTGAGATGCATACACACTTTTCACATGAAGAAATACAAATGGCAAATAAATACATGAAAAGATGTTCAACATCACTAGTCATTCAAGAACTGTAAATTAAATCAACACTGAGATTCCATCTCACCATAGAAAGAATGGCTGTCATCAAGAAATCAACCCATAACAAATGCTGGAGAGGCTGTGGGGAAAAAAGAATTCTTCTCCACTGTTGGGAGTGTAGACTGGTGCAACCACTGTGGAAATCAGTCTGGAGATTCCTCTGTAAACTAGGATTGGAGGTCCCATTCAACCCAGCTATTCCCCCCCGGGGTATTTTTCCAGAAGAACTGAAAACATCATACCACAGCAGTATATGTGCTCCCATGTTTATAGCAGTGCAATTTGTCATAGCTAAATCTTGGAAACAATCCAAATGTCCATCCACTGAGGAATGGATAAAAAAAGATATGGTATTTTAATACAATGGAGTATTACTTAGCTATAAGGAAAGATAAACTAGAGGCTTTTATAGGTAAATGGATGCAACTAGAGACCACACTCATAAGTGAAATAAATCAGATTCACATGTGTAAGCATCATATTTCCTCCCTACTATAAGAACCTGAAAGAGTAAGTAAAATCTGAAAGGTACTATAGATATTGTGAAAGGGAAAAGAAACTGCTCAAATAGGAAGGAGCAACTGAGATGAAGGAGGGGAGGGGAAAAAGAAAGAAGGAAGAGGAAAGAAATAAGTGCATGTATACACAGGATAGCCAGGATAATTGTACTACTAATATCTGTTGGTTTTTTGAAAGGAACTGTTAATGTGTAATTGTTTGATCAATCTTGCATGCCTATATCTGGTTATATGTGCAACCATTTTGAAGATGACATTATGTAATATAACAACCACTGTTAATATCCTATCACCATGTTTTGAAATTCTGTATCATTTTTATTGTTGTCTACTCTGTTTTGTTTATGTATTTGTTTTTGTTATTTTGGGTTTTTTAAAGCAAAAACCAAAATTTATATGTATATACAAGGATAGCTGGGATAGGCATATTGCTGATATCTGTGGTTCATTGAAAGGAACAGCCAATGCTTAAAATTTTCTTTTTTCTTGACCAATTTTGCACGCTTGCATTTGGTAATCAGAATGACTGATCTGAAAACAATATGCAGTGTAAGAACCACTGTTGAACTCCTACCATCTTGTATGGTGAAGCTCTGCATCATTTCCAATGGTTTTTTAAAATTACTTGTTACTGTCTTTGATTGCTTGATCAGTCTTACATCCTTATGTCTGGTGGACTGAGCAACTTCGTTGAAGATGACAGTATGTAATGCAGCAACATTGTTAATTCCTGTCATTTTGTTTTGAGGTCATGTATCATTTTTTGTGTTGTTTTGATTTTGTCTTCATTGTTGTTTTGTTAGTTTTCTTAATTTTTAAAATTAAAAAAAAAGCTATGTGGTTGAAAATCTTATTATTCCTCACTTGTCCCAAACAACACCTAGTGACAAGGATGAACGGCAGGAAGCATCCGTGAGGCACGGGTGTTCTGGCACACCGACAGAGACACTCTCTGTCCTCGCCGCTGAGCAAATTCTGTGCAGAAATGGCAGCTTTGGGGCCTACTGACATCTCCCAAAATTCACACCTAGGGAGTTTTTATTTCTTCTTGACACAGACAAATTAGGACAGCACTCCCCCACCCCACAGGGGGGTGGTGGCAGAAGAAATTGAATAAATGAAATATGGCATGTTTATAAAATAGATATAAGCAATATGCAGTCAATCTACATTCTCTAACATGGCTTGCAGTTTGGCTCATGCATGTAAGCTAATGGTCTGAGGAAATACCAAAGCCCTGGTTGCAAAGAACATCCTTGAGAACTATGTCCCTCTTAACTTAAACCAGCACTACTTGGTTGCCACCATTTATATGACATTAGAAACCAAGACTTGTGTTCTATTTGAGAAGCTGGCCAAGATCCTTGAGGTTGTACAGTGTGTGGAGCAGGCTCACTAGTTCTGTGACAGACATTAATACTCAATAAAGGAGACCCTAAGAGTCATCTTACAAGCCACTTAGGAAGAGTTATTAGAAGTTTTTAGGACAATGAGAGTTGTTGCTGCTAAAAACTAAGCTTTTTCTGCAAAGTCTCGTAAGGAGGAGCTGGTTCATATCCCACACATCAGCGTCCAAATCAGCGGCTTCATTAGAACGTACACAGGTGGCGCTATCTGGGTTCATCACAGCAGGAGGTTCTTGGCCGGTCCCACCAGCATGATGCCGTGGCTCACATACGGGAACAGAGTGTCCCTCACAGGTTCACGTGTTGGGAGCTTGGTCCCCTGCGTGACGATAAGAGGTGGTAGGAACTGTAGGAGGTGGGGCCTAATGGGAGGCCATTACTGACCCTTTCCTTTGTGCTGGCCTCCTGCCTCACCATGTGATTCTCTCTCTCTCCTCCCGATTGTGATGCCATCTTCCATGAGGTCTTCACTGGAGCTAAGCCATGCTCCTGAGCCTCTAAAACTGTGAACTAGGTAAACCTTGTCTCTTTATAAAGTAGCATGCCTCAGGAATTTCTTTATAGTAACCCCAAACAGACTAATACACTTATGTATACAGACTTGATCATATTCACTTTGACTTACCTAAAGACAAATGAAACTGTCCCTCACTGGCAAAGATTAAGTTAATCTTTACTAGGAATTATGGATCTGGGCTAAAGTCACTATAACCAAAGGTCCATAACCTCCTGAAGTAAACAGTGTTCAAAGTGCAAGTCCCTCCTTGTGTCACCGTACTGACTGTCTGAGGTGACGTTCTTAGTAGGTGACTTAATACACACAGCCTTGATAGCCTGCTTTGTGCCACCACTTGTCCCTGGATGTATTTTCTCTCTCCTTCCTAAAGACACGCTGACGTCACACAGAACTCCTTAGCTGAAGTGCGGGTATTTGCCACAGAGTAAATCTGACCATATACCTTCCTTCTGCCAAACCCTGGCCCAGTGCTCTAAAAGTGAACTGAGTGGAGACGGTTCCTGCATGTAGATCTCTGCCCACAAATATGATGTGGGGGTGTCCTTGAGAAAAGCAGCTGTCTGCTTAAAATGTGTCAGCCTCAAGGTGCATTTTGTCATTTTATTCATTTTTAAATCTAGTTGATATTTTTGCAAGTACACGTGTACAGTGCTTTAGGCTGAAGTTGAATCGAAGTAATATTTACTGATAAAGAACTGATTGAGGTCCTCTGTCCCCTGACTGTCATAGGTGCCCCAGGCAAGAGCTGAGCCAGCTGATTCTCTGGCATTGATGGGCTGGGGACATGAAATCCTCAGTCGTCTGAATCTGGCTGTTGGCCCAGTTATTTCAGGGTTTCCTGCCTCTGGGGTTATATAATGGACTGTTCCTCACACTCTCACTCCCCCTGCCCCGGCGCCCTCTTCAAATTACTGCTGAAGCAGCTGGAGCCAGAGCCGGGGCTCCTTGAAAGCCCGCCAGAGCAGCTGCTGTTGAGTGGGAGCAGGGATAGGAGCAGGATTCTAATTTGATCACCTCCCTCCCTCCGCTCTCAAGAAGTGAGAGCGCCTCCCACCGCCCCTCTCAGAGGCAGCTGGGAGGGTTCTGATCCTGCACAGAGTGGCAGTCACTCTCCATCCACAGTTGGAGAGTGTTTAGACACACGTGGGCTGGGGTGTAGCCCAGCGGCACAGTGCTTGCCTAATACATGTGATGTCCTGGGCTCCACCCCAGTACAGCAAATAAACAAAAAACCTGTGAGAATCGTCTGTCAGCAGACCAAGGAGTCCTCTATGGAATCTCATAGAGGAATAGCGCCTGGAATCCCACTCTACCACTGTTTTGCTGGCCAACTGCCCATTTCCTTTTTAATTTAGCTTTTTTAAATAAGAAGGTAAGTATTGCAGGGCATGGTGGCACACACCTATAATCCCAGAACTCGGGAGGCTGAGGCAGGAGGATC